CAACATATTTACCTTTAAGAGTGTTAAGTAAAAAGTAAACAAGAATAGCTTAATGTCTTGTCATTTGTTCTAATAAAGAATTTGCAATCACAATTAGGACTCCTGTCAATTACCTTTGCTAAGTTAAAGTCGATTACCTATCAGGGCTCACCTTGGGTGAGTCATGAGGGTTCCCTGACAAACCTTACCAACAAAACTGGTCTGTTACAAAGAGCTGGCACTGAACCAAGAACTCAGTTGGCAAGGAAAAGCCCCAGACTCAGCAGAAAATGAGTTGGGGAAAATCTACACCAAGAAGAGTTTTGAATAGGAGCTTTTTATGAACGCCAGCATTTTAGTTTTAATTTTGTCAAAGATCCAAGAATATATTCTGAGGATTACTGCCTTTACTGAGGTTACTTTATGAACCTATGTGAGGAAAAATAGGCAAATTTAGCTCTGAAGGTTTAACTGAAGTCACTTTCAGTTTATTTCTTTGCATAGAGAACCATTATTAATTGAAGCAGGTAGAAAACAAACAGAAAAAAGTAAAGTGATCTAGTGACATGGGAAGTCAACTTATGATACTAATCATTTATTTTGAATTACCTTGTTAGAAAAATATCTTTAAAATGTAGACTCCTTGGGTAAAATGAGCAAATCAGAGAACTCTAGATGCTGGCGAGGATGTGGAGACACGGGCACCCTCCTACACTGTTGGTGGGAATATAAACTGGTGCAGCCCCTCTGGAAAACAGTGTGGAGGTTCCTCAAAAAATTAACAAGAGAACTCCCCTAGGACCCAGCAGTAGCACTGCTAGGAATTTACCCAAGGGATACAGAAATGCTGATGCATAGGGGCACATGGACCCCAATGTTCATAGCAGCACTCTCAACAGTAGCCAAAACATGGAAAGAGCCTAAGTGTCCATCAACGGACGAATGGATCAAGAAGATGTGGTTTATCTATACCATGGAATACTACATGGCAATGAGAAAGCATGAAATCTGGCCACGTGTGGCAACATGGATGGACCTTGAGGGTGTTATGCTGAGCGAAATAAGTCAGGCAGAGAAGGATATCCTATGTTTTCACTCATACGTAGATCTTGAGAAACTTAACAGAAGACCATGGAGGAGGGGAAGGGGAAAAATAGTTACAAACAGAGAGGGAGGGAGGCAAACCATAAGAGACTCTTCAACACAGAGAACAAACAGGGTGGATGGGGGGTGGGGGAGGGGAAGGGGGTGATGGGTGTGGAGGAGGGCACTTGTGGGGATGAACACTAGGTGTTATATGTAAGCAATGAACCACAGGAACCTGAAACCCAAAACCAAGAGCTCACTGTAAACACTGTATGTTAGCTAATTTGACAATAAATTATATTTAAAAAATAAAAATGCACTGGCCATTTATCTATAATAATCCATAGCATATTGCTGTGTTTGACTCAGTTATATACATTTTTAAGAGAAACAAATAGTAGGTACAGGTGAAACCCCACTGAGTTTTTCCCAAACTGTATTCATCACCACGTTTCCTAAAAGTAACTGCCCGTCTCTGTTTGTCACTTACTTCTTCCGTAAACTCCTATACAGGGTGACCTGTGTTTTGTGACATTACCTAAGTGACCTCACTTCATGCATCCTTCAGCAATTCCAATTTTTTCCACTTTATATTTTTATGTTTCTCCATCTGACACATGAGGCACGAATCTACACATTTTTCTGTATTTGTCCATCATCTTGGGGAACATTCCAGTTGCTTCCAGTGTTTGACAACCGGCAACAACGGCGATGTGGACGTCCACATACACGTTACCTCTTGGACACGGGTCAGAACCTCCCAGCCCGTGGCCTGATCCTCCACAGGCCCGACATGACCGTCTCCCCTACCCTGCAGGTGAGCAGCAGGACCCAGCGCCCAGCCAGCTGGCTTCTCCTTAATTTCTGCCAATGCAAGGATGTGGCGAAAAATCTGAAAGGGGGCAAGAGGCGGCGGCGGCGGGAAGGGACCCCTTCCTGCTCTGAGAGACCTGCATCTCTCCGCGGTGGAGGCTGCAAGCAGGACCTGGTCACTGACCCCTTCCCCTCCCCCGGCTGCCGGTTCATCACCCCACCCCCCACCCACCAGCACGCTCAGAGCACAGTGAGGCCATAACCTCTACCATAAATCTGCAAGGCAAACCTGTCCCACTGGATGGAAGTCACTCCACAGATGCAGATACACAGGGCACGGGTCCCTTCCTTACTAGTCGCTGCAGTTCTCAATGTTGGGCCTTATTAAGGAATAAGTAAATTATCTGGTGAAGGGAATACTCGAGATGGAGAATTATAGGCTTCAGTAAAATGAATGAGCGGAAAATTCAATACATCAATTTATGTAAATTTCTTTTTCTATTCATTGCCTGAGTGCTAATGAAATGCAACAATGAGTATTTTTATTTATTTATGTACTTCATAAATAAATACTTTCACACCCCTTGAAAGTATTTCGGAATGTTTGCAATATGACAAGTACATTATTTAAAATGGTGAAGAACATTTTCTGCATGTTGATACTTCAAAAGGACTTCACATCAAGAAATGTGTGTTATTAGCTTTGTAATGGAAAGAATCAGAATTAAATTATTATTTAAGAAAACTGATTGCTGGACCAAAGAGTGCTATTTAATTTTCTTGAAAAGCAGGCCAATAATGGAACATGAAGTTTCAAGATGAGTAGACTTAAATAAGAAACAAAATGTCCTGTAAAAAATTAACACTTACAATAGATTTGTTATGACTTTCTCACTATACAGCTGCCAAAGGCTGAGCTGATGCCCGGTGCACAAGTGTGTACAGTTCAGCATGTCCCCGTTCCCGGCAGGGACAGAGTGCAAGGCTTACACTGCCACTAGCTGCTCAACAGAGGTCCAAGGAGGCTGACACGGCCTCACCAGAGCATGAAGCTGCTAAGAGGTCTGGACCCTGGGTGGGGGATGAGGGCGTGAATTTCCCAGCAGAAGACCCCCGTTGTGCTACCTTGCACTCTGGGCCTTCAGCATCTCACACGAACGCGTCTGTTCACAGTTCTGTAACGCGCCCACGGTCCTGTCTGGGGTCCGCCTCGGTTTCTGAGGTCTCTTCCTTACAGGCACAGGTCGTTGACACGGAGGGTTGGGTGACGGTGCACTGAGACTGGGCGGGCAGGGGTGAGGGGTGGGAGAGGAGAAAACCTCACTGGGGAGCGTGCTCAGCCAGGTCAGTCCTCTACTGGTGGGTGAAGGTGGGCCTGGATGAGCGTCTATTCCCCGAGGCGCTGCTCACAGTGACAGGTCAAAGCACATCTACTCACGGCGTCAAATTACAGATGTGGAAGCGGTGAAAATTAAACATGTGCCCAGTCTGTCCTTCGTTACAAACATCTGCTCTTCGAGGACATCTGCTCCGCGGGAACAGCAAGAGGAAGGGTGAAAGCACCAGAGAGGAGGACGTGCCCGGGGTTGAGGGTCCTGGGGTCCCACTCCAGGCCTCCCACTTCCCGGGCCGGCCTCCCCCATCTGAACACGAGCAGCCCGGGGCAGGGTCCCTCAGGTCTCTCTGCTCTGACCGGAGGGCGCTGTCCGCACCTAGGGGCGCGTGGGGCCCAGGATCAGAGCTGGCGCACACAGGTGTGACAGAACGCACACATTTTATACTCTGGCCGGGAAAGGATGTGTAACGGCCACACAGTAAAAATCGGGCTGCAAGAGGCGAGCAACCACGGGGCGTCCGGACCTGGCCACGTTTTTCTATCCACCTCACCGACCCTGATGACTTTTTAGTTAAGTTCCCAACTTCCTTTCTAGTCAGCACAGGGGAAGAAACAGAGAGGCCTAATGCTTTATTTAAACCCTAATCGACCTAATGCAAGATGGTATTTGGATTTTCCCTTATCACAGATCCTTTCTTTCAGTAAAAACTCATAAATTTTGGAAAAAAATATTTCAGTGGTTATTTATTTCACATTAGATCCTAATACCCTAAGCTTAACATTTTATATGATTTACGAATGTAACCAAATGATGTGAGAAAATGAATAAGAGATTGATGGTTTGGAAATTTCAATGCTAAAACAGTTTCAGTGAAACAGACTCTCCTGAAAATCTCACTTATACAGACTGAAAAGCAGAGACTCATGAGAAGAGATTATACTCAAATTGAGGTTTTAATAGGAAATCATTACTATCCTTCAAATTAACTTACAAAATGTGTTTCTGAAATGCTTTTCATGCTCTTTAGATTTCATTACTATAATCTTTCTTTGCTAATTAATGATTGCAAATTCTTCCGTGTGATTAGCAGTTCTTTTTAGAAACTTCCGGCTGACTAGAGCGCTTCTGGGAACACGGCTCTGGCGTTCTGACCAGACACAAACGCCAGGGGAAAAACGGACAAGGCCGCACGACCACAGGGCTGGACGATCACCCACCGGCGCTTCAGGGGCGGTGTCCCCGGCAACAGGGACGTGTAACAGTGACCTAACACCTAAACTTAGTTCCTCAGGGTGACCGGCTACGTGTGAAGAGGGATCATGAAGCTGAGCTCACGATGACAGTTAAGAACGTTCTGCACAGAAACGCCTTTCGCGTAACAGGAAACAGTTTGCTAATAAGCCGTCACGTATCCATCCCAGTTGATCAGCCTGATCCCCCTCGTTTCATCAAGATGTTTCTTGAAATAGGAAACTTCACATTTAGATCCTTGTGAGGAAAAGAATGAACGGAGTTTTGAAGGAAAGGCAGAACCTGTCTCAGACGTGCTCAGGTCTAGGGAGTCGATGCAGCACGTTCCGCGCTGCGGGAGGGACAGGGTCTCGAGACCCGAGGGCCCTGTGGTTAGGGCCGTCACGGGGCAGTGTCGCGGCCCGTGTCACTCCCATCACCTCTGCTGCACCCAGATAACTGACGTCACAGCGGGGTACGGACGAACGGACGCGGCGGTCGCAGGACGCGTGTCCACAGCAGCGCCGGCCGAGCGCCTTCCGCGCGTCCACTTACCTGCTCTCCGCGCCAGGCCGGAGGCTCCCCGACGCCGGGAACGGGTCCGACACACGGCCTGAAACAGAGACGGTTTGAGAACAGTTACGCGGATAAACACTTGAACCAAATGGGCTGCAGACACTGTGAACGATACCAAACGAGCCCCAGCGCACAACCCCCACCGACGCCTGGACGCGGGCGGTCGGCCGGCCCCGCACACCGGCAAAGCCAGGGACCCCGGGGCGGAGGCCGGCCAGTCCCCTGCGGGAGTGCCCGCTGCAAGTGCGGGAGCGGAAACTCCTCTTCACCCCGATTCTCAACACAGAAGTTTTCTGACACGTGCTGTTCTGCCTGAGGCGGGAACCCTCTCTGTGTCCCCGGGGAGCACACGCGGGGTCCGGGGACGCGGGGCCGCTCCCGGAGGTGCGGGCCCCCCACGCGTGCACGCGCTCCAGGGGGAGCACACGCGGGGTCCGGGGACGCGGGGCCGCTCCCGGAGGTGCGGGCCCCCCACTCGTGCACGCGCTCCAGCTGTGACCACCGCCGGCTACTGCAGATGTACTCGTCCCTGTACCAGGCTCCATGCAGCCAAGCCTCAGAATATGGGCAGTGAGTTTTTTAAAGCAACTACACATTAAAAGTAATCCCCGGGGTGCAAGAGCAGCTCAGTCGGTTGAGTCTCCAACTCTTGATTTCGGTGCAGGCCATGGCCCCTGGTCCCATCCAGAGACCGCATGTCAGGCTCCACGCTGGGTGTGGAGGCTGCTAGGGATTCTCTCTCCCTCCCTCTCTCCGCCTCCCCTACGCACATGTGCATAGTCTCTACACTTTTCTCTAAAATTAAAAAAATTTTTAATTTAAAAAAATAATAAAAAATAATTCCCAGTCGTGCAAACGAAAGCATATAAGAGTTTACGTTTCTTTTTGTCCTAAAGTGAGTTTTTTGGTCAGTCCACATTATGAACTGAAAATAATAAAGGTCTAAACACTATAAAGTTAAAAGGTTCTGAAACATATAGGCCACTACTGGAAACAGAAATCTATACTAACAAGTATTATTTACCATTACTATATAAAACTTACTAATTTAAAATTTATTTTATTTATATTTTATGTATTTATAATATACTGGTACAACATAACTCTTACAGTAATGGTACTAACGTAATTTAAAAGTAAATACGGGGCGCCTGGGGGGCTCAGTCCGACTTCAGCTCAGGTCATGATCTCACGGTTCGTGGGTTCGAGCCCTGCGTCGGGCTCTGTGCTTGACAGCTCAGAACCTGGAGCCTGTCTTCCAATTCTGTCTCTCTCTCTCTCTCTCACCCTCCCCTGCTCACGCTATCTCTCTCAAAAATAAATAAAACATTAAAAATTTTTTTTAAAAAGATGACGTTCCCACAATTTTCTCATCTATGTCTCGTTCACTTGCATTGCTATGTGATGTGTGTGCATATCGACAGATTTTTTCTTTTGTTCTATTTCCATTCTTTTTATTACACTCAGTACTGCTATGAACATTTTTGCATATTTCCAGTCCATAAATATGAAAGTAAATTTAACGTATATTTTTTTAACTGTGATTTATTTTTTTTTTTGGGGGGGGGGGGCACATGCACAAGCAGGGGAGAGGCAGGGAGAGAGAAGCCCAAGCAGGCTCTGCCATCAGGACAAAGCTCGATCTCACAAGGCGTGAGACCATGACCTGAGCCGAAATCAAGAGTTGGGCGCTTAACCGACTGAGCCACCCACGCACTCCTTTAAAGTTTATTTCTAATAAAGGAATGACCAGGAAGTGTTTTGCAAATTAATTAGGCAAAGCTCCCCACTGACTAAGAAAGTGAGGTGTCTTAGTTGTGCTGAGTGGTTTTTCATAATGGTCTTAATCTCATTTCTCTCAGGAGCAATGAAGTTTAGTATCCTTTCCTTTAGGTCTCATTGTTATACCATAAGAAGTTTATAGAAACTTCTTAACTTTTAACTCTTTTATCAGTAATTATTCCTAATATTGTTTTCTTGTTTCTTTCTCTCCCCACCTGACTTGCTTCATTTTAACAAAGTTTTATTTTTTTCTTATAGAACATTAATTTCAATTTCACAGATTTCCATCTTTAAGTTTATCATCCTGTTCAAGATTCTTTGGGTTTATTATGCTAGGTTATTCTGGTAAAAATGACTTGACAGCACAAAAAAAGACACATTTTACGACATTTATATGAAACGTCTAGAACAGGTGAATCAATGTAGACAGAAAGTACACGGGTGGCTGCCAGAGGCGGGAGGCAAGAGAGGATGGAAAGAAACCGGCCAGCAGGACAAGTACAGGGTTTTTTCTGGAATAATGGAAACAATGAGAACCGGTTAGCGGAGGAGTCTCACAACGTGATGGAGCCAGTGAACTCTGCACTTTAAAAGGACTATATTCAGGGGTACCTGGGTGGCTCAGTACTTATAGATTTCACCTCAGAGCTACATACTTACAAAAGCAACTTCCAGGCATAAATGTGTCTAAAAATAAGCCCCAAATGAAAAGAACATCAAAGTATATTAACTTTGAGATTTGGAAAGTAACAAATAATCAAACCAAATTACTTTTCTCAATTTATAGATGAGGCATCTATATCACATTACTGGTAGAGCCAAAGTCTGTAAAATCTTATGCAATACACATCCTGTGACATCAAATTTTTTTTTCTTTCTCTGAATGTCTAAGTTAAGATTGGGAAGATATTTTCCCATGATAATTACAAACACTTAAAATGTTGACTTTGGATAGAAAGAGAAAACAGTAACTACTGAGATAAATCTATTACTACACTGTAGATTACATATGCACACATGCAAGTATATACACAGATATAAATCTGTTAGTATTTATATATTAATATTATATATTAGTACACTGCAGATCACATATGCACGCACACATATACACATATATACACAGATAAATAAATCTGTTAGTACACTGTAGATTACATGGACACATATGTATATATACAGATATAAATCTGTTAGTACACTGCAGATTACACATGTGTGTATGCACATATATACAGAGATATAAATCTGTTAGTACACTGTAGATTACATATGGATGCATGCACATATATACACAGATATAAGTCTGTTAGTACACTGCAGATTACATATGCACACACATATATACACAGATATAAATCTGTTAGTACACTGTAGATTACATATGCATGCACACACATATTTACACAGATATAAATCAGTACCCTGCAGATCACGTATGCATGTATGCACATATGAACACAGAATAAATCTGTTAGTACATTGCAGATTACATATGCACACATGCACATATACATACAGATATAAATAAACACATGACAGATGAGAAAAAAGATAATACATAGATACATTTCAACAACCTGATTATCGAAGATTTTAAGAGTAAACTCAAAACTGATCATTATTTGTTTATGGTGGTCTGTGAATGAGAGAGGCAGTTTATGAACTACTAACAGAAACTATGATCAACAGGCAATATTTATAGAAAATGCACCTCAACGGAAGCATGGGTTCTTCGGGTCACCAATGATTAAGTGTTCTAAGCCTCAATTTTGCTTTATTGTTTCCTAGGAAAGGAGTCAGACATCCATTATCCACTGATGCTCCAGAAGGTTAAAAAGTAACGGTAAGTGAAGTTAGCAATTTAATAGGAAAATAAACATGTAACTTCTGTATTTGTATAGCCCCTGAAGTAAACAATTTCATATTTTTAAAATATATTTTAAGATTTTTTTTTAAGTAATCTCTACACCCAGTGTGGGGCTTGAATTCACAACCCTGAGATCAAGTGTCACATGCCCCACCAACTGAGCCAGCCATGTGCCTTCAGCATATTTTTCAAATAACACTGTGAGGGGCGCCTGGGTGGCTCAGTTCGTTAAGCCTCTGACTTTAGCTCAGGTCCTGATCTTGGGGTCTGTGAGTCAGAGCCCCCGATAGGCTCTGTGCTCACAGCTCAGGGCCCGGAGACTGCTTCAGGTTCTGTGTGCCTCTCTCTGCCCCTCTCCAGCTTACACTCTTTCTCTCAAAAATAGACAGACATTAAAAAACAATTTTTTTAAATAACACTGTGATCTAGGCAGGGGAAATGTTGGAATTCCCATTATGAGGCAGAGGAGGGACACTACGATTCACATACTCAGTAGTGAATGGAAGAACCAGATTTCAATGGAGACCTGCTCTTTCTGGGTGTAAGTAATTCTGCCGTCAAACTACACCAACTCAGGAAAATTACCTTAGACACAACAAGACCAGGCCTGACACATCTAAATAATTCTGTCAAGAACTATTTACGGTTATGGCTTCCATCTTGACAAAGGATCCCGTCTGCCAGAGTTACATCCAGGAGAAGCAGAAAGCATCACCCTCAAACCTTAACACCATGAGGCTTCACCAGCACGGAATAGTACCAAGAATTTGTTTCTGAGCCAATAATGTAGGAAACCAAACAGTTAGTGGCTGGAGTTTGGTTGAGACAAACAATCCAAAGCACTGGTTTTCTAAAAATAAGGCCTCCTTAGATGAAGTGGGGACAGACAACCTGGACAAGTTGTTCACACACATTCTAAACCAGTTTGACACGGTCTTTTCCAGTTTAGAATCAATACCAGTAAACTGATTACATCCATAATAATTAGTAAATGCACCCCCTTGGGGCGCCTGGGTGGCTCAGTCGGTTAAGCGTCCGACTTTCGCTTAGGTCATGATCTCGCGGTTCGTGGGTTCGAGCCCCGCGTCGGGCCCTGTGCTGACTGCCAGCTCGGAGCCTGGAGCCTGTTTCAGTCTGTGACTCCCTCTCTCTCTGACCCTCCCCTGCTCACACTGTCTCTCTCTCTCCTAGAAATAAATAAAACATTAAAAAAATTAAAAAAAAAAATGCACCCCCTTCACTCTTCAAATGTCCTAATATGTATGATAGCAATGCCTCATTTTGAAGTTAAAAACAAATGTTTCTACATCTGATTTTCTAGGTGTGCACACATGTTCTACAGAAAACTGGCAGAGCTACGTACGGGTCAGTAAGTGGGCCCCAGTCTCGTCCTTTTCTCTCAAGGTCACATATCACAAAACTGAGAAAACTGAGATGGCGTGAACAAAGGTGTTCCTCTTAGCATCCCTCCAATATGAGCGAAAGAAAACCCGGTATAAACTGGCTAAAACTAAAAGGCTTTTATTGGTGGTGGTGCTCGTCATCGGGGTCAAACTCCTCCTCCCGCAACTGACTTGACTGCCTTTGGTCTGAGCCTCATTCTCACAAAGGACATCCGCTTATCAGGCTCTGGTCACAGAACAGCTGCAGCAGCTCCTAACCTCCAATCGCAGCTTCGCATCTGGTGACAATGAGAAAGCTTCTCTCTTCCAACCAGTGAAGCCTGAGCCTCAGCCCAAGATCCCAATAAGCCTCAAGGTGGAAACGCGTGTCTGGAACCACCACTGTAGCAAGGAGGGAGAGTGAGTCATGGACTCACTGTTGGGATGGGGGTGGGGGGAGATCCAGCCCACTCGTCCACACAGGCTCAAAGTAGAAAAGAGGCGATGCCCC